TACTATCATGATTATCTTTTTTTTGTGACATTACTTAACTACTTTATTATAATTATTAATACAAAGATAGAACATCAGTCTAAATTTTGTTATTTAAATATCGTGCATGGGAAAAATATAAACTACCGAATCGTATTGTTTTTCGCGACAGCGTAGAAAAATCACGATGAGTCAGTTATTGAAAACACACTGACCGATAACGGGTATCTAATGGCATTTACAGCTTTACCGTTTTATTTGCGTAGAGATCGCGTTTGACGACCTCGGTGGCTCTGCGGTTAGCAATGTGGGCAAGGAGGTTTGATTTTGAGAAGGATCATTTTGGGATACTTTTGTAATATTAGTTCAGTGATTATTTTTTTGTTGGAAAGAGGGGTACACATGGAAAGAGGGGTACACATGCGACAGGAGATGTTGAATTTTGCGCATTAAAAGTACCAAATTCGTTTTAGCGGAATAACTCTAAAACTAAAGGGATTAAAAAAAAATCCGTAGTGACAGTTGTCGATCATGCATAAATATAATTAATTATCTAATTTTTGTTCTAATAACCTGTAGCAGTTCGGGGATAAATCGAAAAAATTTGAAAATTAGATGTCATTTCGTGATTAATATCTATCGAGGAAATTTTATTGTTTTATGTTTCTGATTAATGTCTATGCTTGAATATATCGTGTAGTTACTCATACAATATTTTATTTTTAACTTTAACGTGGATATACCGCTCTAAAATTAAATCGAAGATTAGGAATTTTTCCTCTGCTCCCTCTTAACGTTGAGCGATATCTAGCCGCTAAAAAAAGATAATACCTACCAATACCTAAGCACATATAGATTAAATCCGTGGTAGTCTAAGGGCGCATTTCTTGGACACGAATTTTATCGCGTTCACCCTGCGTCGCCTCCGCGGTCGCCGAGCGGACCCGCCTTGCCGCCGCGCAGCGACCGCGTGTGTCTAACTGTCATGGCAAAATACGCTCTATTCGTGTAGATTTTACGTTTTATCTTAAATGAGCGACCCGACACGCGGGCGCGTCTGGCTTAAATTTGGTCCACGCGACGGCACTCGCGCGGTTGTATTATTAAAAGGAATTTAAATATTGTTGCCTAGTAAATAGAATTCAGATTTGCCATTAAGACGCAGAAAGCGTCGATGACCTTGAGCGATCGATGTTTTAAGCCATGCCTACTATATTACAATTTATGAAGTGAATTAGCTAGCTAGGTGCAGTGCGGGCGACATAGGTCGATCCAGCAACGCGTCTCAGCAATCACTGCCGACCTTCGTATGTGTAAAAGAGAAGAAACTACCAATAGTTTGCGCGCGTCTCAAAGAAAGGGTTTATTTCCAAAATTAGGTTCAAAATGTTAAAAATAAAACAACCACGGTTTTCATTGTTGAGTAATAATACCTTATTCGTCAAAAACTTATGAATTTTACTTGGTATATTACGGATATACATATTTGCGTTAAAAGCGTCGAATAAGAGGTAACGTTGAATTTTTTTTTAAATTGAAAATGTTGTGAAATCGTGTTTTGGACAACAGCATTTTAGATAATATGATGAATAATACACATTTTTTTCACTGCCACAAGTCAAACAGCCCCCTAGCATGGCTACGCATGATAGTCGCGACGCGCGCGATAAAATTGAAATAAGCACGAGCTATTGGCTATCTAAATTAGGTCTGCCCCCGTAGCATGGCTACGCATGACAGTCGCGACGCGCGCGATAAAATTGGAATAAGCGCGCGCGGTATTGGCTGTCTCAATCAGATCTAATTTAGATAGCCAATAGCGCGCGCTTATTTCAATTTTATCGCGCGCTTCGCAACTATCATGCGTAGCCATGCTACGGGGCAGTTGTCTTTATAATTCCATAAAAGCGTAAAAAAACACACGATTACCATTAATCTTAAACTTTTTTATAATTGCTATTTTGCTTGCATGATATTGCCCTGCTATTACAATAGTGTTGTAACTAAAAATTGTGAAATTTTGAAATTGTGAAAAAAAACGTGAAATTCAAATAAGCGCGCGCTATTGGCTATCTAAATTAGATCTGATTGATACAGCCAATAGCGCGCGCCTATCATGCGTAGCCATGCTACGGGGGCAAATCTTCCTAAAAACGCTTTAAAGTGAAGCGTAATCGACGGTCTTAATGTACATGAAGGCGTGGTAACTGGGTGGTCGCCGAGCGGCGGCCGCGCGAAAACTTTCGCCTCGTGAAACTGGGCGCTAATAGTTTGTCTTACCGCTTCTCAAGCTGAGACCGTGGGTTCGAATCCCAACTTACACCTCTGTTTCTCGGAATTTATGTGCGAAATTTAATTTGAAATTTACTTCGAGCTTATCGGTAAAGGACAACATCGTGTTGGAACCTGCACGTAGAAAGAACCTTCTCAACCCTCGGAAAACATGTGAAGTCTTGGATTGATTGGGTTGGGTTGATTATGATGACTAATAAAAGGTTCATAATCCCCTGAACCTTTATTTTGGCAACAATATTTTGACCCTATTACCTCGCTGTAGGAATGTTAACTATTTATTAGATCCGTTTGTTTCTACATATTATATCAAAGTGTTTGTTTACACGTTTCGAATCCGGTTTCATTGTGGGGACTAACCCTTTAACTTTCTATCTTAGTACAGGTGGTATGGAAAAGTGGAATTCCTCGGTAAAGAGGAAAATTTTAAAGTGTACATATAGTACATTATCTCCGGGGTACTATCCTACACGTTCAGATTAGAAATTTGGAAAGATTAGCTTTTCAATTGGATCCCACTGGGATTCGAGCTTGCGACTTCCTTATCTAGCGTCCTGAGCTTATCACTGAGCTACCAGTTCTTAAAAATACGTAATATTTCTGTGAGTAGCGGTAGCTCCTTGTCAGAGTTCGTCCAGGTAAGCACTAAGCCACTTTATTAATTTCTTCTGCCTTCAAACAGTAATGTGATCATTAGTTTTTCGATTTTGATGGTAAAAGCTGGTGCAAAGGTAAAAAAGATGCTGACGAAATTACAGGCGTATGGGACTTTGACGGTCGGTCGGTGACGGTCTTTATGATTTAAAGCTCTGAGTGGCACTGCAACTGTTATGGACATGCGAGTCGCTTACCACCAGGAGCACGACTTGATTGTTCCGTCACATGGTATTTTAAAATAAACTTTTAATATTGAGTTTGTTCTTTCTTGGTTATTAGTAGGGGTAGCACGACAGGGCGCGACTTGTGCGAGAGCAGTATATCGCGCTTCATGTCCCTCTCGCGCGAATCGTGCCGTGTCGTGCTACCCAACAGGTCGTCAAAGTTGCAGAAGAGTCTATACGCACATAATAATAACACTAATAACGCACACATTCAACATAGCCCCGCACTAGGGAAACCCTGTGTCGCGGGTGCCATGGACAAACACATAGACAACCACAAATTACACCCAAACTCCCGAGAGAAATAAATGTAGGCCATACAAATATTTCTCCCGGCCCGGGAATCGAACCTGGGACCTTAGTGTGGCAGTCCGGCATGGTAACCGTTCGGCACGGAGGCAGTATACATCACAAAGATGTGAACTGAAGTTTTCTGTTTCTCCCATTGGATTTCAGATTTAGTCGGCAGTCTAAATTAAGCTGTATGTATATGAAGACTATATAGCTATTTCACTTTTGTTTAACTTAGAAGTTCGTAAATTCTAATTCATGCTAGCTTTATAACATAGGTAATATATCGTCTGTTTAAAGGTAAAACCACATAAGTGACATTTCTACAAAAAGACATAGCTATGGTAAGAAAATCACTATCTTTCTGCAGGTGAAACTCAATAACAAAAAAGATATAAACTCAATAAGTGGTTTTATCTGCAGAAAGATGGTGATTTTCTTACAACAGGTACATATTGGACATTTTTTGTGGATTTGTGGAATGTTATGTGGTTTTACCTTTAAGCAGACGATATAATTGCCTTTGAAATAGTGAAATTGATTAAATACTTATTTATTTTTTATTATTCATTCGTAAATCTGCGTTACGTGCCCTAAGGTTGAATTTACGTTATAATTTTTTAATCCAATTTTTGTAACGTACAAACTAGATACGATACGGTAGAATACTGCGCGAGAAATCTCCGGAAGACGCGCGACCTACATTTCGGCTCGTATCTAGTTAGTAAGTTACACAATTGGCATAAAGTTTATTATCTATGCTTACAACAATGCGCTTCCATTCCAATGTACATAGAGCCTTAGTTAAGTCTTCAGATTAGACGCTTGTAGTAGCTCTGTAGTGGCGTTACTGTGACGCGGCAGCCGCGCGTCTGTAGCGCTTCAGTTTTACACGCATTTTCCACTAAGCGCTAGTCGCGGGCGGCTACCTAAGTCATTACACCATACCCATTGACGCGGCCGCGACTAAGAAGTAAGGGTCGAAACACAAAATCTACGAGCTCGCATGACGCATCGCAAGAATTTGCGAATGGTTCCGCATCGCGCATTCCTGCGTTGTGAATATTCTTTGTATTTTTTTCCTATACTTTCTTATCAATAACAGCAGTGCAATACTCTATTTAGTTTAGTCGATTAGTGGAAAATGGCACTTAGTGTTACTGCCAAACTGGTGCGCGCGTGTCCCGACAATGGCGCTGCAACAGCGCTTCAAAAATTGTTCGTAAGTAGTAGCGGCAGGGTAGTGGTGCAGTGGCACTTTATTAAGCGTCTAATTTGGAGGCGCCCTTAGAATAACGAGAAAGAAACTACATTGGTCGCTGTTTGTAAATAGACCTTTGTTCACATTTATCAATAAGAATAATAATTTAAAAATATTATATATAAGGCAGAAGCAACCTGAAAGAGCAAATTAGATCCAAACGGATTTTTAACACCCAATTACGCAGAAGCTGTACAATAACCACACTGAAAGAAGCCACCTGTCGACATAATCGCAAACGAGTCGGACACAATTTGATGCGGAATTTGAGTCGTCTCTTAAACTATGTTACTCACCTCAAACTGAGCGCTGAAAGTCTTAAACACTCCCTCCCAGACGCTGCCGGACTGCGTGAGCACCTGCACAATATCCCCAACGTGGGATGTGGCCGCGTGCATAAAGTGAGCGTTGTTATAGACGCCCTCGGGGACCACGCGCCCGCGCGGCGATCTGGTGACGAATATTATAAATTGTTAAGCATTAAAGTACGTATTAGCGCAATTTAAGTCGCACTGCCGGTCACGGGTAAACTGGGAGAACGGTGGTTCCAAATGAACGAAACTTGACGCATATCCTAGTTGAGTCAACGTGGATTTAGTATAGATAAAAATATTAAAGAACACTTTTTTCAGTGAAGGAAAGTTTTGCGCACAATGTTGATTATTATATTTAATATTGACACTATATTTTACATTATACTAACGGTTCGTCCTTCGAGATTAGCACGAGATTGGCACTTGTAGTAACGCATACGTGTGGCCACTTCCTACCCTAAGTTAACGGAAAAACAATGTAGGCAGATAATACGCACACCAGCTCTCGCTTGGTGATCCATTTGGTTTTCATTCGCTGTTTAGTGTTCGGTTTATTTACATTAAATCAACTTTTTTCCAATTTAAAATTTAAGCGTATTTCTTTTTCCAAAAAATGCCTTAGTCATCTCGAAAAAGAAAGATAAATTCAGAAACGGAACATTAAGTTTGATGCGATGGACGATGCGCCTCGTGTAATTACGATAGAACTTCACTTACAGGTAGTTCGTTTTATCACTAATTTTTACTTTTAACCTAGTTCGAAAAAAATCTACCCATATAATAATAAATGGAATTATATTCTCGCGTTATATAAAGCGAAAAAAATAAATACATGGATGCAATTACACTTTAAGCATAAATAAAAATAACTGCGACAATCAATCTAGCACGAAAGTAATTCTCTATGCGAGAATAGCAATATCTCGCGCTTTCTGTCGCTCTCGCGCCATGTCGTGCTAGACCTAACTGGTGTAAAACCAGGGAAAAACCAGATATTCTCTACAAGATTGGCATTATCATTTCTAGTAAATTTGATAAGAATCCCGACAATTTAATGCTTATCGTAATGTGAAATAGGTTTACAGTATCTGCCTAACAAGGGCGGAGTGGTGATTTGTAACATTATAATGTTCGTCGTGCCATAAAGATGTGGCATTGGTTCCGAGCACAACGTTTAATAATGAGCCTTACTATGTAAAGAACTTTCGTTAGAAGCTTATTAAGTCGGCAGCAAACTTAGAATATAGCGCGTATAGGATCTTTGAGATTTAAACGGCACTGCAGCGGCTATGGATAGCGGGACATAAATTGACAAGTCCCATAAGCCTGTACCGCACCCTTACACTTCATAACCGGAACACAGTAACGCTCCCATTCCTGCTTGGCGGCAGAATTTCTCTGGATGAACACAAGGAGCTCTCTACTGAACCAGTCTGTCATTCATTCAGTCATTTGTGCCATTTTTCGTTCCGAGGGCAGTATATTGAAAGAATCTTTGTTAAATGCAGTAGGTATATTATATGCAATACTTTTATACAAGTATCGCGGACTGACACATAGATAATGGAATAAGATTATGAAATAGAAACGAAATGCTGAACAATTTTGAATTTGAAGCACAAACTGTGTCATTTTTGAAACACCGCTTCTATTCTATAACTTTAGTAGCAGTAGAGTTCGGCCAGAGAAGTACTGCCACCTTACCTATTTCTGCCGTCAAGCAGTAATGTTAGCATTACTGTGTTCCGGTTTTGAAGGGTAAGGGTGCTGGGGGCCTTTTACCACAACCTCTCAAAACAATATTAGTTCAACCTTACATTGACTTTTCTTTTTTTTTTCCTAACTAATATTGCTCTTATGTCAGATTTAGCAATCTTAAAATAGTTACACGAATGCAATGGAAACAATATCACTTTTAGTTTTGTTGTCTTAATATTGATTTGTAATGATTAAAAGTTAAGTTGAGCTTATTTATTTACACATATATCTTCAATATTCTGTTTATTTTTTATTTATTAGCACATAGAAAATAATTTTTCGTTAAATAAAAATACGCGACGTTTATTTCGTAAAATTATAACAGCGCCATCTATATGCTCCTTAGCGAAGCTAACAATTGACACCAGACTATTGTTCCGAATTCACAACGTGACTATCAAGATTCGGCTTGTTTTATTTATTTTTCTTCAAAAAAATAATTGAAAACAACGTAATTTTAATAGATTTCATTATTACATACTTTTCTTTTTTTTGGCAGTTAAAATTCTCTAAATGTAAATAACAGTAAGTACTCAAACATTTATACTACGATAAGACGATTCGGAATATCAAAAAAAAAAGAAAGAGATGGCATTATGTACTTCACATAGCGTTATCTCTTTCCTATTTTTAGTAAGGAATAGACAATATTGGAAAATCATTCGTTCTTTCAATCACTTTTGCAATAATACATTGCTTGGTTGACAGGTTTGTGATGGTACGAATATGAGTAATATATGTTGTAATATATATAATAATATATACTTACTCTAAGCTTACATTGAAATAATATTGTATTTGGAAAGGTTATGGTAGGCTCCCTGGTGAAATTACAGGCACATGGGACTTGTCAACTTATGTCTCAGGGTGACGGGCGCAGTGGTAATGCCCCTCAGATCTTTGCACTTTAAAGCTCTGAGTGGCACTGTAACTGTTATGGACAGGCGTGTAGCTTACCAGGCGCACGAATTGTTCGTCCCGTCATTTGATGTCATAAAAAAATATATAATAAATAATGGCGGGTGTGACAACCCGCGCTATGCAACGCAAGGGCGCGTTCCCACTATGTCGTCACGTTTTATTATCGTTGAACGACTGTCGTGACGACTTTTTATCGTTTCACGACATTCTCCTTGCCCATCTCTGGCTACGACCCAACGCTACTGCAAAGCGAGCAGAGGGCGCAGGGTACGAGAAGGGAGGGCAGGGAGCCGAATACGTGCGGACAGCGATAAATAAAACGTGAAGACAATAGGAGCTGCGACAATCTGTCGTCATGTTTTTATCGTGACGTTTTTTTTATCGTCTGACGACTGTCATTCCAGCTGTTCCCACTGTGACGACAGTTTGTCGTTGTAACGATAAAAAATCGTGAACGACAATTAATCGTGTCGTGCTATATGTGAACAACTTCATTTAAAAATGCAAGCCACGACACTGTAAACTGTCGTCACGACACAGTGGGAACGCGCCCTAAGTGCACAGCGAAATTATGTGAACGTGTGCGTCCGTACACGGCGCGCGAATGGCGTACACACATACAAACCGCGCTGCTGCGTTTGTATGAAGTTACCGTACGTATGATAATACAATTGTTAACATCCTTGAACTTCAGTTCATTAATCATGTACATACGCCACGAAAACCTTACATTAATGTTTGTTTTTTAACTTTTACTTGAAAACAGTAATAAACTACGAAGTTAAATAATTATTTTAATGGTTTTGTAAGTTTAAAGAGCTTCCACATGCCGAGCACGGTGCGTCACGGTTTTTATGTAAAATTTACTGTCAAATACCAAACGTGCGATATTGAAATGAATTGCCTCCGTGGTTGAACGGTTACCATGCTGGACTACCACGCAGAGGTTCCGGGTTCCATTGCCGGAGGAAATATTTGTATGCCCTACGTTTATTTGTCTCATGAGTTTGGGTGTAATTTGTGGTTGTCTACGTGTGTGTCCATGGCACCAGCGACACAGGGTTTCCCTAGTGTTGGGCTATGAGTGTGTGCATTATTTATATTTCGACTCATCCGAAGAACAGAGTCCGATGTGATTATATAGCGAAAAGAAAATAAGCACGTTACGAGAATAATTTCGTTATTCAAACTAAGGCATATGTAAAGATGTTTTGAGAATTTATATATCTTATTTCGTTTCGGAAATACAAAACCGAACATCGGTCGATTTGACATCCACAGCGAAGAAGAACAAACGAAATGTACTATGTAATAAAAACAAGTAGTCTTGGACATAGATCTTTGTTCTACGGATGAGTCGATTTATTTATAATGCCCAGATGAGAATTTAAAACATAATCTCAGTACAGAGTACTAAAAAAAACCGACCTCAAAAGTACGTGGAATTACGTCTATTTGCTAAGTTTTATTGAAATATCCCCTAGTTCGCCACTATACAGGACTTGACACTGGAGACAATAAAAATAGGTTCTCACTACGAAACTACTCAAAGTGTATTAAGAGAAAAACGCCTTGAATTGAAGAAATAGCAAAATCAAGCATTAAAGTAATTGCTCCTAAATTAAAGTTAGGCGCTATTTATAAAAATGAATCGGCATGCGTGAATAGCCACCCTTTGAAGTGGATGATTTTTTTCAAAATGAAATGGGACCACTATGAAAGTACCACCTTTCCAATAAAAAAAGAATCATGAAAATCGGTTCACAAGTTATCGCGTAACATACATACAAAAAAAAGAACATGCAGTCGAATTGAGAACTTCCTCCTTTTTTGAAATCGTTTAAAAATACAACACAAGCATATAATGTTTTTAATTAAATATTATTAATAATTACCATATACTATGTGTAGACGACTAAGGGGAGCGGATAGGGCGAGGGGACATGCACGGGCGGCGCGGTGCGCTAGCCGCTACCATTACTCATGAACGTCTTTTTCGCTCTTACGCTCATAGAGATAAAGCTCTTTTTGACCAGATTAATGCGATTCTGCGTTAATAATTGTGGTGACCCTTATAAGGTAGGTGCGACAAATCGTCGCCTTTGTTTCTGAAACTCGTATCTTAAAGCACAAAGTTGTTGGAATGCAATAATCTGAGTACAAAGTACTAAAAGAACCGACCTCAAAAGTCATTCGTCCCCTAGTTTGCCACCCTTAGAGGTGGAATATTTTCTTCAAATTTAAATGGGACTGCATCTGAGGTACCCCCTTTCCAACAAAAATAGAATCATCAAAATCGGTTCACAAATTTTTACCGGAGTTATCGCGTAAACATAGTAGTCTAATAGCGAACATCCTCCTTTTTTTGAAGTCGATTAAAAATACAATAGTTAGGCTATTTCGAATAAAGGTGTTATACGTTGTGTTCTTTCAACTTTAAGTGAATCTACTCTGCCT